GCTTGACCCTCCTGAAGATTTGGGAGAGGAAGAGGGAAAGGCGCCTTTCTTTCTTTCTTTCTTTCTTTCTTTCTTTCTTTCTTTCTTTCTTTCTTTCTTTCTTTCCTTCTTTCTAGGCGCGTCTGAGTCGATCCCGGGTATTTTTATTGACCCAGATGAACGGGGTGGGTTGTTAATACCCTTCGCAGGCGGCGTCTTGTGTGTTTAAGAAACACAAGGCGGAAAAGAAACGTCTTTGGAGAGACGTCGCAGGGGGCTGGTGCGCTGAAGGGGAAGCGGACGGGTGGGCGAGAGCTGAGGTGGGCTTTCAGAGAGGGGGAGAAAGGAGGAGGGAGAAGGAGTCATTACAGAGGAAAGAACAACCAAACAAGGACGCTCGCCCTCAATTGGTATGGGAGGCACGGAGGGGCCTTGGGTCACCACCATCACCATCTTGTTCCTCCTTCAAGTGGAGGAGAAGGGACGCAATTCCTCCTCCCCGAGCTGCCCCAAGGTTGGCCAAGGGAAACGCCTCAAGGCCACAGAGACAGCCACTCTGGGAGTCAATACTCTGGAAGGGGTGTCTCTCTTTTCCTCGCTCAATCTCTCTTCTTTGCCCTCTCTCTCAATCTCTCTCTCTCTTTCAACCCTTCCAATCTCTCTCTCCCTCCCCTCTCTGTCTCAATCTTTCTCTTGCAATCTCTCTTCTTCTTCTCTCTCTATCTCAATCTCTTTTTCAACCCCCTCTGTCTCTCTCCCTCCCATCTCTATCTCAGTCTTTCTTCTCTCTCTCTCTTTTTCAACCCTTTCAATCTCTCTCCCTCTCATCTCTATCTCAATCTTCTCGTTTTTTCTCTCTCTATCTCAATCTCTTTTTCAACCCCTTCTATCTCTCCCCCCCATCTCTATCTCAGTCCTTCTCTCTCAATCTCTCTCTCTTTCAACCTTTTCAATCTCTCTCCTTCTTATCTCTGTCTTAATCTTTCTCTTTCAATCTCTCTTCTTCGCTCTCACTCTCAATCTCTCTTTTTTCAACCCTCTCAATCTCTCTCTCCCATCTCTATCTCAACCCTTCTCTCTCTCTCCCAATCTCTCTTCTCTCTCACACACAGTCTCTCTCTCTCCTTCTCAGCCCTCTCAATCTCTCTCCCTCCCATCTCTATCGCAATCCTTCTCTCTTAATCTCTCTCTCTTCTTCTCCCTCTATCTCTCTCTCTTTTTCAACCCTCTCAATCTCTCTCCCTCCCATCCCTATCTCCTTCTCTAGCTCTCTCTCAATCTCTCTTCTCTCTCTCTCTCTCTCTCTCAATCTCTCTTTCTCAACCCTCTCAATCGCCTTCCCTCCCCTTTCTATCTCAATCCTTCTCTCTCAATCTTTCAATCTCTCTTCTTTGCTCTCTCACAATCTCTCTCTTTTTTCAACCCTCTCAATCTCTCTCCCTCTCCTTTGTTTCAATCTTTCTCTCTCAATCTCTCTTTTTCAACCCCCTCTATCTCTCTCCCTCCCGTCTCTATCTCAGTCCTTCTCTCTCAATCTCTTCTTCAACCCTCTCAATCTCTCTCTCTCCTCTCTCTATCTCAATCTTTCTCTTTCAATCTCTCTTCTTAGCTCTCTCTCTCTAAATCTCTCTCTTTCAACCCTCTCAATCTCTCTCCCTCCCATCTCTGTCTCAATCCTTCTCTCTCAGTCTCTCTCAGTCTCTCTCTCTCCTCCCTCTCTCTATCTCTCTTTTTCAACCCTCTCAATCTCTCTCCCTCCCATCCCTATCTCAATCCTTCTCTCTATCTCTCTTTCAATCTCTCTTCTTTGCTCTCTCACAATCTCTCTCTCTCCTTCTCAACCCTCTCAATCTCTCTCCCTCTGTCTCAATCCTTCTCTCTCAATCTCTCCCCCTCTCTCAATCTCTCTATTTCGACCCTCTCAATCCCTTTCCCTTTCCCTCCCATCTATATCTCAACTCACTCTCTCAATCTCTCTTCTTCTCCCTCTCTCTCAATCTCTCTCTTTTTCAACCCTCTCAGTCTCTCTCCCTCCCATCTCTATCTCAATCTTTCTCAACCTCTCTCAATCTCTTTCTTTTTCAACCCCCTCAATCTCTCTCTATCTCAATCTTTCTCTCTCAATTTCTCTTTCAACCTCTCTTCTTCATCTCTCTCTCAATCTCTCTATTTCAACTCCCTCAATCTCTCTCCTTCCCATCTCTATCTCAATCTTTCTCAATCTCTCTCCCTCTCCCTCACTCTCAATCTCTCTCTCTATTTCAACTCCCTCAATCTCTCTCCCTCCCATCTTCGTCTCAATCTTTCTCTTTCAATCTCTTTCTTTCAATCTCTCTTCTTCGCCCTCTCAATCTCTGTCTTTTGCAACCCTCTCCATCTCTCTCCTTCCCCTATCTCAATCTTCTTATCTCAATCTCTTTTTCAATCTCTCTCTCTTTTTTTCAACCCTCTCCCTTTCAATCTCTCTCTCTCCCCCCTCTGTCTCAATCTTCTTCTCTCAATCTCTCTCTTCCTATCTCTCTTCTTCACCCTTTCTCGCAATCTCTCTCGCTATTTCAAGACCCTCAATTCCTCTCTGTCTCAATCTCTCTTCTTAGCCCTCTCTCTCAATTTCTCTCTCTTTCAAGCCTCTCTCTCCCTCGCCTCTCGGTCTCGATCTTTGGAGGAAACCATGAAAATGAACAAAACCTGGCTACTAGTATTTTAAAAAATCTCTAAACTCGGGATAGTAAATAAATAACAACACTCAAAAGCAGGGGAATTCCAGACAAGAAACAATCAGGGCCAGCTAATCACCTCCCAACAAAGGATTCCCCCTGGAAGAAGCAGCCAGGCTTGAAGCTGCAAGGCTATTAATGCTAATCAAGCTGGCCACTTGCAACATTCACACTTGCCTCAAACAGACAAGAGTTCTTTCTCCCAACGTGGACTTTCTATAAACCCACTTGCCTAGTTTCTAACAGACCTCACATCCTCGATGCCTTCCATAGATGTTGGCGAAACGTCAGGAGAGAATGCTACTGGAATATGGCCAGACAGCCCGGAAAACTCACAATAACCCACTTTCTCTCTCAGTCTCTCTCTTTTCAATCTCTCTTCTTCGCCCTCTCTCTCAATCTCTCTTTCTTTTTCAACCCTCTCCTTCCCCTCTCTGTTTCAATCTTTCTCTCCCTCTCTATGTGTGTGTGTGTTCCTATATAAACAAACAGAAGCGCCCCTCTCCCTCTCTGATCAAAGAGCGGTGAAGGAGGAGGAGGAGGAAGAGGAGGAACGGTCACCTGTTGGGTTAAGGCTTCTATCCGGACCTCCCCTCCCCTCCCCTTTTTCTGGGCTGCAGGGGGCTTGGCAGTCACGGCCCCGACGCACATTCACATAGATAGATAGACACAGAGTCTTACACCCCCAGCATCTTGTCTCCTTCCTCCGTTCTTTCCCTTGTGACTCTTTGTCTCATCTCCCCTTCCCCTCCCCTCTCCCCTCAGGACAGGGCCTTTCTGCTGCTCTTCCTCCTCCTCCTCCTCCTCCTCCTCCCTCACCTCCAAAACCAACCGGCCCTCCATCTCCGTCCTGTGCCCCGGTGGCGCCTTGGACGTGGCCTCTCCCGGTCTAGTTCTGTTTTGGAGGCGCACGTGTGGACGCGCGGGTATGTGTGTGTTTCCTTCTCTCAAGGATTAAGAGAAGGAAAGGAGGTGGGGGAAGGGGAAGAGACTAAGACAGGGAAAGAGACTAAGAGAGATAAATATATCGTGCTTCCTCCCCCCCCCCCCTTGCTTTTGAACCACGTGTATTTATTTCGCATCTGCGAATGGATGAGGAAAGAGAGATTTTCAACGAGATGCGAAGTTGGAGCTTTAGTTACCCGTCCCCTTCGAAGAGAGGCTAGGACTGGGCAGTCAGAAACGCGAGAAGCCAAAAAAGCATTGCCAAAAGTGGGAGAGAGGACTAGCCATTTTTTTTTCCACCCTGTAACCAAAGGATCTTCGCTTCTGGTGTGAGAGAATTGGCCGTCTCTAGAGACGTTGCCCGGATGTGTCACCATCCTGTGGGAGGCTTCTCTCATGTCTCCGCATGGGAAGCTGGTGCTGACAGGCAGAAGCTCATCCCGTCTTGCAGATTAGAACCGCCAAACTTCAGGTCAGCAGTTCAGCCGTCACCTATTGAGCCACAGTTTCTCAAATCGTTTCTGACACGATTTTTTAAAAAAAACTCAAAAGATGAGGCAGTATCTTGAACAAAGCAGTGGCGAGCACTTAAAGAGTTCATGTGCCTTTTAAATTTTGCAGACAAATGTGCTGCAAGTCTTTGGGCGTTTTGGCAAGTACACGCGTGGGCTGGTTGGGGATTAGACGTGGTCAGTCTCCCGTGAAGAAAACGCGTATCTGCTGCAGGCGGCAAGCTTTCCTCATCCAAAGACCTGGCCTTCGCAGGGCAAAGAGACCCCGAGGTCCCTGAGAGGCCTCTCCTTCCTTCCCTCCCTCCCTCCACAGCGTTATGTAACCAACCCCCCGTGACGATTTGGCCCTTAGCTTCCACGAAATCAAGAAAGCAAAGCGTTGCCAGCAACGGAGGCGCAAAGAACGAGCCAGGGCGCCCTGGCTGCTTCCTCTCTCTCTCTCTCTCTCTCTCTCTCTCCTGAGTCCCGCAGAGAGAGATCAGGGTAAGGCGTGGGAGTGGGTTAGGGAGGGAGGGAGACACCGCTTCCCGTTTAATAAACAGGGGGGATTAATGAACTGTGTCATATTCGGGATACAAAAGGCAAAGGCCCAGCGGAAAAACGGGGCGGATTGAGAGAGGAGAAACCAAATTACAATAATTCATTCTAACCATTAGAAATGGGGCAGGGGAAGAGGAGAAAGACCACGGCGGGCCGGTCGGTCACAAGCCTGGGCTTCCTTTTATTTATTTTTCCCCTCCCCTAAAGTTAATTGTAATGTAATTCTTTAAAAAACAAAACAAAGCGCATTGGCGTGATCCCGCGCGCTTCCCTCTTCTCTCTCTCTCTCCCCCCCCCCCTCCCCAAATCCATGCCTTTGACTGGCACGCGCCCAGAAGCCCTGGTTCTTGCCTCTCCGGCGCGTTCTGATTGGCTGCGGGGCGACTCCTGCTTGTCCTTTCTCCACCCTCATTGGCCGAGAGTCCCAGCCAGCGGTACTTCAAAGCGGGCGCTCCCGGCACTTAGGCTGAGTTTAGCGGTCCGGAGCCAGGAGAGCGTGCGCTTGGTGCCAGGCGGAGGACGGAGGACGGAAGAGGAGGAGGAGGCGGAGGCGGGAAGCCGGAGGGAACCCGCGCACGCTCCCGCGCCCAGGCAGAGAGAGAGAGAGACTGAGACGGAGAGAGAGAGAGGCTCCCTTCCGATCCCCGCGCCCCGCCAAGGGACCTGGCTATGGCTACGTCTATACTCGGGGTAAGTCGGCCTCGGTTGGTCTCACTCCTTGGGGGGCGCAACCCGAAACTTGTTGCTTCGCCCGCAATTGGCACCAATCGGACGGCGGCTCCTCTGTTTTGGCTTTGAGTGAGCAGCTCAAGAGGACAAAAATCCGTTTCCTCTCCCCCGCTTTTTCGTTTAGAGCCTTCTTTTTTAAGATAGCTTAGTTTGCATGCCATCAGGGCTTTGGCTTGTTTTGATACCTCTACCCTGCTTTCCAATCGATTTTTCGACGGCTTAGCTTTCGTTTGCTTGCATCCATGCCAGTCCTGACAAATCCTACAGGTTCCCCGTCTCCCTTTCACGGCATGGCTTTGTGGGTTGCTGTGGGTTTTGTATGTTCCAGAAGCATTTTCTCCTGATGTTTCGCCTGCATAGATTTGCTTCCACCTTTCCCACACCCTCCCACGGCATTTAAAGAACAGCCGTGGAAAATTAAATGTGAGGTGGTAATCGGAAAGTAAAATGAAGTGAAATTAAAACGAAACGCGGCGTTGATTTGTGTGGTTTTGTCTCCGTGGGTTTGGATTTCCACTGCGGTTCAGTGTAGATTCAAGCTTCAGTTCGGATTGTTTTAGGGCGCAATATCTCGGTTTGCGAGCGTTGCTTCTGAACATTAAGGCCCTGTCCACACAGCTATATAAAGTCTACACTGAATTGGATTATAAAATAATGTGGACGCAGCTCAAAGCAAATCTTGTTGGATTTCCTGCCTTGATATTCTGGGTTATATGACTGTGTGGAAGTCAAGTCCTAAAAGAGATCAAACCGAGGTTGTTTTTTGTTTTTTGTTTTTGTTTTTTTTTGGGGGGGGTTGCGTTTTCCTCACTCTCCTTTGGCAGCGGTGAGAAGCGTTGCGCTTAGCTTTAGAGTAGAAGATTTCCAACAGATCTCACAACCTCTGAGGATGCCTGCCAAAGATGCAGGCGAAACGTCAGGAGAGAATGCTTCTGGAATATGGCCATACAGCCCGAAAAACTTTCCAGTGCTTCCGGCCATGAATGCCTTCGACAATACTTGAGAGTAGATGTTGTTCCCTCTGGGGGGGGGGGGGGGGAGATGCTACTAGTTGTGCTGGAGTTTGACGGCGTGTCCCTCCTGCCTCCCTCTCTCTGTGTGTCCCTCCCTGCCTGCCTGCCTCCCTCCTTTCCTTGTCCCGCTTCAGGAAGAGCCACGATTCGGGACGACTCCTCTGGCCATGCTGGCCGCCACCTGCAACAAGATCGGCAACACCAGCCCGCTGACCACGCTGCCGGAGTCGAGCGCCTTCGCCAAGGGCAGCTTCCACCCGTGGAAGCGCTCGGGCTCCAGCTGCAACCTGGGCTCCAGCCTGTCGGGCTTCGCGGTGGCCTCGAGCCGCGGGGCGGGCGCCTTGGGCGGCGGGGCGGGCGGGGGCGGCGGCGGGGGCGGCGGGGCCAACAGCAGCGCCTTCTGCCTGGCCTCCGCCTCGCCGCCCTCCTCCTCCTCGGCCTTCAGCAGCGACTACAGCGGGCTCTTCTCCAACGCGGCGGCGGCGGGCGGGATGTCTCCGCAGGACGTGCCCGGCGGGCAGTCGGCCTTCATCTCCAAGGTGCACAGCTCGGCGGCGGAGGGGCTGTACCCGCGCGTGGGCATGGCGCACCCCTACGAGTCTTGGTACAAGTCGGGCTTCCACTCCACGCTCTCGGCGGCGGCCGGGGAGGTGGCCAACGGGGCGGCCTCCTCCTGGTGGGACGTGCACGCCAACCCGGGCTCCTGGCTGGAGGTGCAGAACCCCTCCTCGGCGGCCGGCGGGCTGCACTCGGCCGCCCCGCAGGCCGCGCTCCACTCCCAGCTGGGCGCCTACAACGCCGCCGACTTCGGATCGCTCACGCACTCGGCTTTCAGCCCCACGGCGCTGCTCTCCACCGGGCAGCACCTGCTGGCCGCGCAGGAGGGCTTCAAGCCCGTCCTGCCCGCCTCGGCCTACTCGGACTCCAGCGCCGCCGTCAGCGCCATGATCTCCGGGGCGGCGGCGGCAGCGGCGGCCGCGGCGGCGGTGGGGGGCGGCGGCGGGGGCTCGAGCTCGGCGGCGGCGCGCTCGGCGAGGCGCTACTCGGGGCGCGCCACCTGCGACTGCCCCAACTGCCAGGAGGCCGAGCGGCTGGGCCCGGCGGGGGCGAGCCTCCGCCGCAAGGGCCTGCACAGCTGCCACATCCCGGGCTGCGGCAAGGTCTACGGCAAGACGTCGCACCTCAAGGCGCACCTACGCTGGCACACGGGCGAGCGGCCCTTCGTCTGCAACTGGCTCTTCTGCGGGAAGCGCTTCACCCGCTCCGACGAGCTCCAGCGGCACCTGCGGACTCACACGGGCGAGAAGCGCTTCGCCTGCCCGGTCTGCAACAAGCGCTTCATGCGCAGCGACCACCTCAGCAAGCACATCAAGACGCACAACGGCGGAGGGGGAGGCGGAAGCGGGAAGAAAGGCAGCGACAGCGACACGGACGCCAGCAACCTGGAGACGCCCCGCTCCGAGTCGCCCGACCTGCTGCTCCACGAGGCGAGGGGGAAGGACTCCACGGCCGGGCCCAACGACCCCTAGGCCGCCCAGCAAGAAAGCAGGACTCGGCGGAGGCGGCGAAGGCGGCACTGAGAAAAGTTTAGGCGGGAGGCCAAGCGCGCCAGGAAAAGGAGGAAAAGCCCAGAAAGGGGCGCGCGCGCCCAGCTGTCCGACCGCCGCGCGCCCAATTGTCTGACCGCCGCGCGCCCAGCTGCCTCGCCGCCTCCCAACCGCGCGCGCGCCGCCTCAGGAGCCCAAGCCCTCCGCCGTTTGGAGCCCACATTTTCCCCACCCTCCGCTCAGTTTTGGGAGTGGGCCGAAAAGTGAAGGAGAAAAAAAGCGAGTTTGATGACTTTTGTTAAAAGACTCTGATTGGACAAAGACTGGGGCCAGGCCCAGAGGACAGAGACGCAAACACACACAAAAATACCCCCTTTCCCCCTACTCCCAAACAAAACCAGTGCTTGAAGAATGAGGGAAGTGGCTGGGAAAATCCCCAGATCCACCTAAACCCAGGCCACCGTTCTCTCTTTCTCCAAAACCCAAACTGAACTCCAAACAAACCTGCCACCCAGGACCTTTGCAAGGTGCAGCCGTTTGGAGTGGATTATTATAACTGTGTAAACAGACGACTGCAGTATTGGAGGAGATCTACAATCAATCCCCCTTTGATATTTCAGATTGAAAGACAGCTCCGTCTTGCTCTCACTCATAAACACACACACACACTCATGCACAGAAGCTCAAGGTGAGAAATCAAACTGGGAGACGTCAGAGACAATTTCTCTCTCTGCAGTTCATCCAATATGTGTATAAATAGGGACCCCGAACCGCACAAAGACGGACGGAGGGTTGTGCTCTCTCTTTTTTCCCCTCTTGTAAATGTCAGTTCCAATAAGTTTTCTTCCCCCGGGGGTGAATTCCTGAAATTCAGGGGAGGTTTTTTTAAAACAAAAAAATTATTATTATTATTTCTGATGCACTTTGTGGAGGTCGGTATATATGTAAAAGATATTTAAAACGTTGAGTTTAAAAAAAAATCACTCACACCAGTAAGTTAAGGTGGCATAAAAGAATTTAAATGCGTTTATCTGTATTGGGGATGGCGGGCAGGGGAAACTTGACATAATATTTTCATTTTGGTATTATTAAAGGACTCTGAATAATGCGCTCTGGGGTTTCATTTCCCTCCACCCAACCAACCAGATCTGAGGAAGGAAGGCACCCCTTTCTGGGGTTGTCTTTCTTATCAGGTGCAGATATTAAGGCTGGGATCTGAAATGCAGTCACCAGGGATCAGTAGAACTTATTCCTAAGGCAACATGGAATAAAAACAATGAAATTCAGTCATTGCTATGAGTCGTGAAATCAGTCGAAATCGCTCAAGACAAAGGGTACACCATAACTAAACAACCTTGCTAAGAGCAGCCTCTTAGGATTGCGAGTCTGCATCCTAATGGAAGTCAGTCCAAAATCGAAGGCTTTCATGGTCAGAATCACTGGGTTGCTGTGAGTTTTCCGGGCTGTCTGACCATGTTCCAGAAGCATTCTTTCCTGACGTTTCGCCCGCATCTATGGCAGGCATCCTCAGAGGTTGAGAGGTCTTAAATGTCCATGGTGGGAAAAAGAACTTTGCTCTGTTGGAGGCAATTGGCCATCTTGATTAGCTAGCACTGAATATGTTTCCCCATTCAACCCAGAAAACTCATATTTTTCCCACCCTGTACATTCAACAGATATATAAACCCATTTTCCTAGTTTCCAACAGACCTCACAACCTCTGTGGATGCCTGCCATAGATGTGGGCGAAACGTCACGAGAGAATGCTTCATTATTGTTATTATTATTATTGTTATTTGGTTGCTGTAAGTTTTATATCTCTTATTCTATCTATTTTTATAGGCAAGTGAGGTTTTTATATCTGTGGAATTATGTCCAGGGTGGGAGAAAGATCTGTTCTTTCTGGGTTGTATGGTCATGTTTCAGAAGCATTGTCTCCTGACGTTTCTCCCACATCTATGGCAGGCATCCTCAGAGGCTGAGTTGTCTGTTGGAAATATATTCAATGCTAATTAATGTGGCCAACTGCAACATTCACACCTGTCTCAAACAGACAAGGGTTCTTTCTCCCACTCTAGACATTATTCCACAGATATATAAACCTCGCTTGCCTAGTTTCCAACAGACCTCACAATCTCTGAGGATGCTTGGCATAGATGTGGGCGAAACATCAGGAGATAATGCTTCATCATCATAATCATCATCATTATTATTGGGTTGATGTGAGATAGATTGATCAATCGATAGTTAGATAAATAGGCGAGTGAGGTTTATATATCTGTTGAATGTCCAGGGTGGGAGAAAGATATGTGAGTTTTCTGGGCTGTATAGTCACGTTCCAGAAGCATTCTCTCCTGACGTTTTTCCCACATCTATGACAGGCATCCTCAGAGCTTGTGAGATCTGTTGGAAACTAGGAAAATTGGGTTTATATATCTGTGGAATGTCCAGAGTGGGAGGAAGATATGTGAGTTTTCTGGGCTGTATAGCCACGTTCCAGAAGCATTCTCTCCTGACGTTTCTCCCACACCTATGACAGGCATCCTCAGAGGTTGTGAGGTCTATTGGAAACATATACAATGCTAATCAAGGTGGCCAATTGCAACATTCGCACCTCAAACAGACAAGAGCGTTTTCTCCCAGCCTGGACATCATTCCACAGATATATATATCTATATATCTATATCTATATCCCACTTTCCTAGTGTCCAACAGACCTCACCCTCTAAGGATGCCTGCCATAGATGTGAGAGAAACAGCTTCTGGATCATGGGGAGAATGTTTCTCGGACATGACCATACAGCCCGGAAAACTCAAAGCAACCCAAACGTCCCATTGCTTTGAACAGACTGCATCTGAGGCTACTCTTTCTAATATGCAACTTGCGAAACTGACGTGTTTGATGCTTAAAAAAACAACAACCCGGCATCCCTTTCCTAACGTTTTTAAAAAACAGCCTTGAACATGAAGCCGATTAAAAAATAAAATAAAATAGTGGAAAGTGTTCCTTAAATACTGTTTATTCTCCGCGTCAGGTCTCCCAGGTTAGAGGGAAGGAAGCCATTCCTGGGGGAATCAATCGCTGGAGTCAATCCTCCGGAAAAGACATTTCATGCCTAAATGAAAACCTTGTTAAATGTTATTAATTTTGACTTGGAGCACACCGCAGCCCCCTGTGCCTTGTATTCCCTTATTAGGGATTCATGTCTTATCAAATATCTAATTAATCTCCTAGACATCATTTGTTCTGGCCAACTTTATCTCAGCTGGTCCCGCGGGGGAGAAAAAACCCTCTCAGAAAATTCTCGGGGACAAAAGCTTCCCTTGAAGATCCCTTTTAATTGTCTAAATTAACTGCGCCCGAATTTGCATGTCAAACGGTAAAAGGGCAAACGCGAGATAAAACGTAAACGTTTTTGAGGGGAAAAAAGAAAAGAAAAGCCTCCCAAACGAAGCACTTGATTTGATAGCCGGGCTCCTGAATGTGAATGTGATGGAAGACAACTGCTCCCCCCCCCTTCTTTTTCCCCTCAAAAGGCGGTTGATCTATGCAAATAGTGGATTGGAAATGCTTGTGTCTCTCTCCCCCCCCCCCATGCAGACCCTCCCCAATGCAGTCAAATGCTCCTCTCGCCTGTTATTTGAATATCAGTGGCTCTGCTATTGAAAAGGGTTCAAGGATGCTCCCTGACTTCTTTGTGATTACTCAGTGCAGCGTCTGATTCTGAAGGGAAAGGGGAAAAGGGGGAGAGAAGAGCCTCAGGAATAATTAAAGCCTCGGGTGAGGCCTGGGAACACATTTGGGACAGGAATCTCATTTAGGCCTTCTCTTTTCAAAAACAAGCCACAGTTAAATTGACCAGAAGGCAATTATTGAAATGAAAATTATTTTCCCTCCCCTTTGTCTTCTGACCACCAACTCCACGGGCGCAGTATTAGACCTTCTCTCTCTCTTTCCAAATCTTTCCAATCTCCTTTTCTCCCTCCTCCGACTTTAATTGCGGAAAGTGAAGCAAGGGGGGAAATGGGAGAAGAGGGGGACAAACTCTCCCATTTTTTATGAAGTTAGATCTATATTCATGCCTTATAATCCAGGGGAAAAAGCGGGGATTTTGCTGGCAGCGGGCGAGCCAAGCTGAAGGAAAGGGCTCTGAATCAAAACATCTGTTGTGTCTGTCTAGCGAAGCAAGCCCGCATTTAGCTGCCCCTTCGGTAATTGTCCTCAAATGCAGCCACAGAAACGGGGGCGAAATCGTTTCTCCGGGCAGGACAATAAGGAGGCGAACGCGCGAGTTGGGGAGGGGAAAAAAAAAGGCTGACAGACGGGATTTATTTTAATTTCCAGGGGAGGGAAAGCAATTTCAGTGTGATTCATCTATTTCTTTTCTTAGTGGCGGTAATCGTCTCTAGCTTCAGTCTTTTTTTCCCCCGAAGCGTGGGTCGACCCCTTCCTTCTCCTCCACTCGTGCTGGTCTGTTTTATCCTCTTGCCGTGCGTGATTGTGAGCGTTTGAGGGGCACTTGTGAAGTGGCTGAGCCTCCCCAAAGCCCCTCATGTCTCTCTGCCCTTCTTCCCCCTCTCTTTGGGGTGTGTTTACTGGGAGCAATGGGAGGTATTGTGGAAGGCTTTCATGGCCGGAATCACTGGGTTGCTGTGAGTGTTCCGTGCTGTATGGCCCTGTTCCAGAAGCATTCTCTCCTGACGTTTCGCCCGCATCTATGGCAGGCATCTTCAGAGGTTGTGAGGTCTGTTGGAAAGTAGGCAAGTGGGGTTTCTATATCTGTGGAATAATGTCCAAGGTGGGAGAAAGATGTGTGAGTTTTCCGGGCTGTATAAGACCCTGTTCCAGAAGCATTCTCTCCTAACGTTTTGCCCACATCTATGGCAGTCATCCTCAGAGGTTGTGAGGTTTGTTGGAAAGTAGGCAAGTGGGGTTTATATATCCGTGGAATAATGTCCAGGGTGGGAGGAAGATGTGTGAGTTTTCCGGGCTGTATAAGAACCTGTTCCAGAAGCATTCTCTCCTGACGTTTCGCCCGCATCTATGGCAGGCATCTTCAGAGATGGTGAGGTCTGTTGGGA